TGGTGAACAGCCTGTTTGCTGGGATGGACCTGACAAGCCTTCAGAATCTCCAGAACCTCCAGTCCCTCCAGCTGGCAGGGCTCATGGGCTTCCCTCCAGGACTGGCCACAGCTGCCACCACCGGAGGCGACGCACCTGGGCGGGCTGCTCAACAACCCTCTCTCAGCTGCTACTGGAAACACCACTACTGCTGCGCAAGGGGAGCCAGAGGACGGCGCTTCCAAAGTGGAAGAGAAAGGAAACGAGAACCAAGAAGAGCATCGAGACTCTGAGAAAAGCACAGACGCCGTCTCGGCTGCTGACTCTGCAAACGGATCTGTTGGTGCTGCTACTGCCCCGGCTGCATTGCCCTCCAACCCGCTGGCCTTCAACCCTTTCCTCCTGTCCACCATGGCCCCAGGCCTCTTCTACCCATCCATGTTTCTACCTCCAGGACTGGGGGGATTGACACTGCCTGGCTTCCCAGCACTGGCGGGACTCCAGAACGCCGTGGGTGCAAGTGAAGAAAAGGCTACTGACAAGGCGGAGGGAGGCCCCTGTAAAGACGGAGAGACCCTGGAAGGCAGCGATGCCGAGGAGAACCTGGACAAGACTGCAGAGTCCTCCATCTTGGAAGACGAGGTTGCACAGGGTGAAGAGCTGGACTCCCTTGAAGGCGGGGATGAGATAGAAAACAACGGAAATGATGAGTGACGGCAGCAGTTCCGCTCAAAGTGTTGAAAACTGTTGACAGGTGGTAGTCCTACTGTTTACACTCACAGTTAATGTTCATACCTAGTTTTATAAGCTGTTCTGTAACATAGTGTAGCAGAAAAAAAGGAAAAAAAAAGGAAAAAAAGTCCAAGTCATGTTATGCAGGTGTGTCCGAAGGTATCTTGGTCATTAAGTATTGTGCAGTGCATTATTTATTATCCCTAGGAAAGATGAAATTTGAGAGGTGATCATGTCTTTTTAAGGAAACTTACATAATGCTCTGCTTTTCTTTGGGTACCGCTGGTATTATAATAAAGAGCAATTTGTAACAGAGCGGCACTAAGTGGAAGGAAGCGCTGCTCCAAGGAAGTATGAAGTTATATATTTAATTTTTTTTAATTTTAATTTTTTGCTGTGAAGGTCAAGATGAAATTTACCATACATATCATAACTTGCTCATTCGTTTCCCTTTCTGACTGTATGGGGGTTCCCACATTGCGCATATACACACATCCATACACTCTGACAATCTCCACGTTAGTGTGAACGCCTCTACCCCGAGGCGCAGCAATAATAAGGCAGCTGTTGAATGTGAAGGGTCCCTTTGGAAAACTAACCTACTGGGAGGGTTCTTGCCAGACAACTGCAGTTCCATTGGCTTGTGGTCTTGTGATGCACTGGTATAAACAAAATAAATAGAAGAATAAATAAAAGAGTGAGAGAAGTGAGAATCAGGTACCTTTCTTTTTTTTTTTTTTTTTTTAAATTAAAGGTCTTTGTTACTTTAGCCACAAAGCTAAAACAGCATTACCTCAGCTCTAAACTAGCCTTGAAGTTTACAGACAGGACTTTGTAAATGTTTTTCTTTGTTGTGATGTCCTTTTATTTTTTTTTTCTCTGAAAACTGCTATCATGTAAGATAAAATGTAAATTGCTGCCAACTGTAGTAATGATGCTTTTAATAAAAGTGACCCATGATATGCAGAGATGTAGTTACAGAATGCAGTGTGGGGGGAACTGGTGTTCATTCTTTTTTTGTATTTGAAATAGATGCAAATGCAGCATTCTGGCTTTAGAGAAGTTGCTTGCTATATCCTCTCATGCTAGATTAGCTGTTAGTAACAGTCTTCAAGACTAGATGGGGAGGAAAACCTTGAATTACCTTTATGTAATTCCATACCAGATATATCAGCAGACACACACACACAAAAACCTCTTATTGCTCCCCTGAAAGGGCATCTGAGAGTTAGAACCCTGAAAATGTGTGCAGCCTGTGATAATGTGGTACACTGTAGACAAAAGGGCAAAAGAAAAATGGGGCTTTAATAGGCACACTATCTAGGCCATTTATCCTTGGATAATGGGAGAAAAACACAATGTCGTAATGTCAGCAAGGGACACAAAGGCGTTCTGGTGTCCTGCCGACCAGAGCTTGATACCAGAAACCAGTGTGTGGAAAAACACACGTGGAACAGAAATGGACCCACTGAAGCGTGTGTGTGTGTGTGTGTGTGTGTGTGTGTGTGTGTGCGCGCGTATGTACACACTTTCACCCACTCTCAAGGGCTGCTAGTTTATTGAACCTTTTATTCTTAAAATAAGATTTAAATTTTCTGTGTCATTTGAGCAAATTATTTCCATCCATCTGAAAAAAAAAAGTGATACGGATTGAATTGTGCGTGTCTCTTACCTTCCTACACACACACACACACACACACACACACACACACACACACACACACACACCAGTATCACATAAGTTACCCTCTAGATGTAATGGGACAGCCTATCTACGTTCCTTTTGGGCAATGAATGAGATTCCATCTTGGATATCCCAAGATGGCCATATGACTTGAAAAGGAACAACTTGAACTTACCATTATGGCTAAACCTCGAAGTTAGCCAGCCTGTGCTTGGAAAGGAAGTATCTTAGAATGCCTTCTGAAATGGATTCTTTGAACACGAAAATAAAACTAGACCCGTACAAGACAGAGGGTCTTAAAAACATTCAACTGAAAGCCTTTAAAAGGGAGAGCTGGTGTAATAAAATGTGTTATAAAAGGGTCTATTCCTAAAATTATTTATTGGAAAGTTTTTCCTGGGCTTCTATAAATAGATGAGCATGACTGTGTCCCTGTCAGCGTCAAATGTTGAGAGTGATGAGCTTCTAAACAAAGGTGGCCACTGCTATGAGTGGCAGGAAGAACTCTGACCTCAGACGTCCACGCCCATTTTATATTACTCAGTCATTCAAATTTCCACAATGGAAAATACATTTTTTTCTTCCAATGAAAGGAGGATTGATACTACATCTATTTAGATAGATACTAAATCTATCTAAAAAATGTTCACGGTTCAAACTAATGCTGACCATTGCTTCCTGCAGTATAAATGAAACACCAGGGTCCCCGTGCTGTTGTTGCCATGCTGCTTGGTTGGTGGGGAAAGCTGAGAAACAGGTAATAAAAGTAACTGACTCCCACTGAGTTCTGGAGGATGGTCTGGACCCTGGACTGCCCACCTTGCCCTCCTGAAGTACTGCATTTTGGGGGGGTTATAAAGAAAAATGATGTAGGGATGACCTCAAGTTTTTGATGTTACTATATTTTTCTCTTCACAATTGCATGTTACAGTTGAGGCTGAGCCTTAAGAGTTAAGTTGCTTTTTTGGTTGTTTGTTTGTTTGTTTTTCAGTTCATTTTTTGAGCCAAGGTCTCTTTATGCAGCCTAGGCTGACCATGTACTCACTGCTCCTGCCTCAGCCTCCCAGATGCTGGGGTCATAGTTGTGTGTTTAAATTTGAATTTATGTTGTCCCACAAGTCTTTCTACTGTATAAAGAAACCAAGTCTTTGGAAAGAGGAATTTGACCTAGAGTAGATGTAATCTGGTGTTGAAACCAGGTTTGGTCTGCCCTCCAAGCCCAGGCACTTAACCACTGTGCTAATGAAATCATGACTCATGAGTAAGCATACACTGGTGCTGGACTTAGACAAACAACAAGAGACTGGCCCCTGCCCTCACAGGGCTTACATTCTAGTTGGAAAAAGACTAGTTGGTGGATTTAAGTTTCTGCACAGCAAGGAAGACTTGTTAAATGAGATGATAGGTTGATGAAAATGAAGGTCTCAAGAGGGTGCAGCCAAACTCACCTGAGGTGTGAGAAACAGTAAGTAGGCAGACTTGACTGCAGGATCTCCCAAGCAAAAGGAATAAGCGACCTTAAAGTGGACTGGGAAGGTATAGCATGTCTGCCTAGAAGAGTTGGGAAGTGGGGCCAGGACTGACAGGGCCTGGATGGTCCTGGTGGAGGATTGAGTTTCATTCTAAGTGCTAAAGAAAATCATTGGAAGGCTCCATCCAGGAAAGTGAGATATTTATGCCTTTAAAAGAATCAATATGGTAGCCAGGCAGTGGTGGTGCATGCCTTTAATCCTAGCACTAGGGAGGGAGGTAGAGACAGGTGGATCTCTGTGAGGCCAGCCTGGTCTACAGAGCAAGTACCAGGGCAGTCTCTAAAGCTACACAGAGAAATCCTATCTCAAAAAACCACACACACACACACACACACACACACACACACACACACACACACACACACACACACACACACGTATATGTATAAATGAGTGACTCTACAGGTAAGAGCACTGGCTGCTCTCCCAGAGGGCCTGGGTTAAATTCTCAGCACTACATGGTATCTCACAACTGTGTAACTCCTGTTCCAGGGGACCCGACACCCTTACACATGTGCAAAACACCAGTGTACATTTTTTTTAAAAAAAAAATCAGTATGGCAGTACCACAAAATTAGGCCTTGCAAAAGGAAGTGAAGAATTCCAGCTGGGAGGTGGATCTAGCAGCCTTGGGTCTCAGTGGTGGGCACGGGAAATATTTTAGAGGTAAAACCTTCTGTTTAAGCAAAGTGCTCCATGAATAATTTCAATTAAGCAAGTCTTCAGGACAATCCAACTCTCCTAAAGAGACTTTGGATCTTCCTACACAGAGCTGAACTTTAATTTCAGCTCCTTAATCATTTTGCTGTTGAAATGAAATAGAACAGGACAGTGATAGTTTCAGGTATTCTCGCTTCTGACATCTTTCTCTTCAGAGTGATGCATGGTCTAGCTGCCTCCTAAGCAGATTGAAGCTTCCCTCACTGGATCAAAGGAGGCAGCCTTCCATGTCAGTGTGCACCTGGGTATGCCACTGGAGTGTGGCAGAGCCTCTGCTGTCTCAGTTTTTCTGTGAGCAGTCTTTTTCCCATGGCCTTCCTGGCCTGGAGGAAATCTATCATGGTGGATTTGGAGTTGTAGCTAAGGAACGGCTTAATAAGATTTCTCGTGTGTAAAACAGAAGCATCTATTCAAAACATCATTTGCACGTCATTCTAGGTGACTTCTTCCACTGACCTTTCACTGCCTCAGCATTTTGATCCTAAAGCTTAAATTCCAAAATTACTGACAAGAAAAACCTTTTTAACAGGATCCGATGATGCACTGGCTTCATATGCTTCGGAACTCAAAACTGTCTCACAACTGCCAGTTCCAGTTCTAGAAACTTCCAATTGGATGTGGGCTGGGTGGCTGAAACCCGAGCAGGCTGTGCATTTAATGGTTTGTGGGAAGCATGTGCACCTGAGAATGGCATGCAACTCCTGCTCAGCATGTCTCACCATGCCTGGAGGCAGAACACTCTGCTTTGTAGATTTCAGATTTTGTTTGTTAACTGTGTATTCATGGGCTAATCCACACTACACCCAGCCTGTTAGGTCCATGTTGTGGCTACTACCCCTTTGCATCAGAAATGGGGTCATTTGCCCAAGGCCAAGTGGTAAGACAAGTGTGGTGACTGAATAAAATGTAAACTCCCACAAGGTCAGTGCTGTCTTGACCACCTATCTTGACTATAAACCTACCATTAACACTACTTTAACCCATGGTCTTAAAATACTAAAACTTAAAATTGATTAAGCTATTTGATAACTCTTTAATAAATCACTGATGGTAAGATCTGAAGAACATAAAGAAGTTTCTAGAATCATGCTGCTATAGGACAAAACTTACTAATGAGGGCTAACAATCATATGTGTGTGTGTGTGTGTGTGTGTGTGTGTGTGTGTGTGTGTGTGTGTGTTTAAGCAATTAATTACAAGTATGCTTAATATTTCTGCTATTTTATGATGTAATTACGCAACTAACAGTTTTTTAAAATGTATTTGTGTGTGTGTACAGGTGTGTACGTGCTCAGTGCATCTTCAGGTTCCAGCACAGCCTTCAGGGATTGGTTCTCTGTTGAGTTAGGATGTCTCCTGTTTATGATGTTATAGTGCTTAACTCAGGTCAACTAAGTTTCCTGTTTCTACTTCCTATCTCACCTTAGAAATGCTGGGATTGCAGGAAGGTAGCTCATCAACCTTTTCGTTTTTTAATTTGTGGTCTGGAAATTGAGCTTTGATTGAGGAAAGGTTTGCTTGGTTACCAGTGTTAACCTGCGTGTGCGCACGCGCGCGCATACACACACACCACATCTCACACACACACACACAGATAGATACACCACACACACCACATCTCACACACACACACACCACACAGATACACACACACCACATACACAGATACACCATACATACACCACACACATGCACATGTGCACACACACACACAACACACACAACACACACCACACCACTGCCCACACTCTCTACAAATTCTCGACAGTTAATATTGTCTTTTTACCTGTTGATACCTTAGCCCCAGTTTGGAAAAGTTGACTTGAGATTTTTGGAGTATGGTTAGGATGGAAAATCATCCCTCCAGAATGGTGTGTCTTGTGTCTTTCTATGTCTCCCACATGGCTTTGTCTGTGCTATTGTAGCTCTCACTACAGTTTACACATTCGTAGTTTCCTCTGCTGGGGTTGGAGCTCTCCAAGGCAATGCCATGGTCCTTTCCCTCTTACCATGAAAGGTCTGGAAAATGAAGGCAGCTGTTGTCTCTTGCCATGAACTTGTTCTGTCTCAGTTTCTTGCTCCTTTGTCTTTCTGAGGGACAGTTAGACCAGCACAGAGTAGCCCAAGAGGTCCTGTAAAACTATCCTTTAGGCCTTCCTTTGCCCTCCACTCTCCAAAATCAAAAGGCATAGACGATCTGTGTCCTCTTCTGTATAGAGCCAGTGTGTTCTGAGGCACCAAAATAGAGTGACACTGTCATAGCAGCTCAGTGACGAGGTGGTTGGCTTGGACTCTCTGAGTAAAGAACTCTATAGACTGAATGAATATGTGGCCAAAGGAGGGGGAATACAACTAAAGCTGAGAACAGTTTTTTATGTTTCAATCATCACTTCCATAAGAGGTGTGTAGGTGTCAGTTTTCCTATTTTAATCTTGGTAAGGCTCTTGATTCAGTGGGTAAAGATGCTGCTAAACCTACCAACTGAAGTTCATTCCCCAGGACACAGATGAGAAAAGGAGAGAACCAACTCCTGCAAGTTATCCTCTGATCTCCCTGCGTGTGACACACACACACACACACACACACACACACACACACTATATAAGCAGCAACATATTTTTAATTATATAGTAAAACCTTTGTTGGGGATCGTGACCCCAAAACCTGAGTCAAGGTGAAGAATAGCATGTTTATTTCATATGCTCCTTTTCCATCTTGGTTTTAGGTTTTGCTGTTTTGGTTTTTGAAACAGAGTCATCTCACTGTTCAGGCTGGCCTTGAACTCTCAGTTCCCCATCTCAGACTCTTAAGTGGTGGGATTACAGATGTGTTCCACCTTGCCTAGCTTTAATTGTTTTCTAAAATGGCTTACAACAAACAGGCCAGCTGAGCCAACAGTGGTTTGTCAAAAGGGCTGAGAAAGCATGATGTGGACTTCCATGTGGGAAGAAAACTGACCTTGACAGTCAGTGCTTTCTCCTTACATTTAGCACTCAAATGCACCCATGGCCAAAGCCTGCCAACCCCACCTGACCTACACCCCTGTTCGAGCTCAAATGCACCCATGGCCATAGGCTACCCACCCACCCCACCCGACCTGCACCCCTGTTG